CCAGCATCACGTGAGCGCCGCCACAGCCAATCCGCGCCGGCCCCTCGATCCCCGGCGGCCAATCCGCGCCAGCCCCGGCCCTCTCGTGACGTTTGCCAGCCAGCGACCAATGGGGAGAGAGGAAGGAACTGTTGGTCTCACCCCCGGGCCGGAGGGCAGCGAAACCATTGGCCGGCGAGGTCAGGGGGCGGGGCGGGGCGGGAAGGAGGGAGGGCGGTTTGGGGCTGTCATGTCAGGGCGTAGTTGGAGGGGGGGCGGTGTTAAGCCACTTTCCCCAGCTCGGACCCGGCCCTGTCAGTGACGTCATGCTGGGGGAGGGACTCTCGGGAGCCTGGCTGTGAGGGGGCCGCTCGCCGGGGCGGAGGCGCTGCCGGGCTGGACACAGGATCTTGCCGTTCTATGCCCACCCGTTTCAGACGTCACTTCCGCGCTGGAAGGGGCCCGGGGTGGGCGGTGGAGCTGAAGGTCTGCGGGGGCCGCCGGCCGCGGGCCATCAGGGTGGGGTTGCGGCCCCTGCGTACTTTCTGCTGCTCAGCTTCTGCGTTGGCGGCGTTGCCAGGTCTTAAATACGGAATTCTCATATTCGAAGCTCAAATGATCGAATTATGTGAAAAACTCACACGCGAAAAAAGAAGTATGCAAATAAGCCTTACGTACTTTATGATGCTCACTGTCAACCTCCTGCAAGTGAGACCCGGGGTTATTCAAGTTGAAACATTTTTTGATTTAGAGGCAAGCGCTGTGCCAAGACCAAGCTTCTGCCTCTTGTGGGCTCAGATCAAGTGGGGGCATCCGCATCCCAAGATCTCTCAGCTCACGCCTGCACATAGGACACCTGCCGATGGATTTGGGAATATCTGCAGCCCCAGGGTGAGAGCCTGGTCCGAAGGATGCTTGCCGGTTGTAGCGCCGTACGTGGTGTTTAGAATGACCGAGTTCTGCCTGCCCAATGGGTGTCATTTCTAGAGCGACTGAGTTCTGCTCCATTGATGTGATTTGGAACATGAAAGATATAAAAAAATACGAGTGTGAAAGTTGGTTAAGACTCCCTGAGAGTGACTTGGATTTTGCGTATGCTGCATCAGTTAACAGCCTCCAAAATATCATAAATTGTGAACACTTTTTGTATTGTCTATTGTACAAGGGTTGAAATTATTGTATGAAGTCAATAATGATCGTACACCTGGTAACGCTGGCTGGTGGGGTTAGGGTTAAGGTCCCTGTCCTGAAAAGGAGCCTGGGTGGGGTGGGGGCTGCCCAAACATAGCAGGCACCAACCTTACTTCTCTTTGGGTTGCTGATTATAAGAAGGAAGGGACCTCACTGGGTTGCCTGCTCAAAGCAGGAGCATCCCTAAACTGTCCCAGCCATGTGCTGGTTCAACCTGGTCTTGAAAATTTCCAAGGATGAGGACTCCGCAGTTTCTGTAGGAAGCCTGTTCCAATGCTCGACCACCCTCCTACTCAGACATCCTCCTCCTCTCCAGCCTAAATTTCCCCTGTTACAGTTTCAGGCCACTGCCCCTAGTCCTGCCCCCTACAGCCATCTCCATTCTCTCTATGATCACCCTTCAGGTATTTGAAGATTTTTATCAAATCCCCCTTCAGATTTCTCTTCTCCAGGCTAAATAACCCAAGTTCTTTCAGGTTTTCCTCATAAGTGTTGTCTTCCATGCCCCTGATCATTTTTGTTGCTGTGTGGTGCAGGACTCTGATGTAGCACAACAGCATTGCTTGAGCTACCTAAACAGCCCACCCAGAAAGAGAAAGCCTTTAAACCTTCCCTCTCTATTAAGTATAACAAACAAAAAGGAAGCCTTCCAAAAGTGCAATAAAGTTCAGATACATTTCCTTTCCACTGCTAAACTTCTTTCCAAGAAGATTCAGAGTACTCAAGCACAAGTACGATACACCCCTTCCTTACATCAGCTCTCTCCTCTATTGGACTCACTGTTCGTTTCTTTCGCTGCTAGATATAAGCAGCTGAACTTGACATGTTTTTCAATCCAGCTGCATGTTTTCTACACCCACCCCCAGTCTAGAACAGAAGCTTTGTAATGATTTATAGCTAAATCAGTGTTTTCTAACCAGATGAATAGACCAGAATAAACAAGTAACAATGATCAGAACCTCAGAGGCCAATAGCAAACAGGGAGGGCATAATTTTTCAAGATAATGAAGAACTGTTTGTGCCTTTCTGTGTTCTATTATGAGTCCAGTTGCTAAACAGAAGAAAAGTCTGAAAAATCACCCTATGCTGAATAGGTACATATTAACCTGTCTACAGGACAGACATCTCTAAAAATCTACCA